ACTCCGATATCATCTCGAGCCATAGTCTAGGCCGCTTGATGAATGCATCGGGTGAGTTTAAGACACATGTTGCACCTGAAACGATAGTTAATAAGAAAAACATTAGCCCCCAGTCGTGGTATTGCGGTAACCATGAGGTTATGACACTATTTGGGTGAAGATCGTATGACTTTCTAGCTGTTCTGACATTATCAGCGGCAGATCCCGCAGTCACTAGAACTGGCTTAGGGATCCCGGTTGCACTAGAGGTGTACTGGATTAAGTACACCTCCTCTGGCTTGCAACCGGTGTAGGAAGAATGTAAGTTCTTTTTTGAGCTTACATTTTTCTCCACCCGAAGGTTATCTGTAGATATTAATGTGAGATTTTTCAAAAGATGAGCAATGGGGTTTTCTGGTTTAGAGTTTTTGATGTATTCTCGGACGGATTTTACGTATGGCCCATTCGCGATAGCAAATTTAGGCCTTGTTTGGGAAAGAACACGAATAAGGTGGTGATGATCATTGTTTGAAAATGTTGGTTTAGGAGGGACAATGGGCACAGCCAGAAGGCCAGCTCGTTGACATCCAAACAAGATTTCAACGAGCTGAAGCCCCGGTGAGCATAAGATGATGATAGTGTCCCCTCTTTGAAGGGAAATCAGAAGTTGCGATGAAATTGATTGGACCGAATGGTTTAGCTCCTCATACGTGAGGCTCGAGCCTTCCAACAAACCAGATGAACTATCCTCAACCCAAACAAAGGCCAGTTTGGACCGAAAAGAAGGCAGGTTAGCCCATACCGGAAGGTACCGATCAACCACTGGCTGGTCAAGGAAACAAGGGTCATAATTTGCGAAACTCATGGTTATATTGCATGAAAGGAGCGAGAGTTTAATTTGTAGGATTTATAGAACCCTCTTGAACAGAGGTTCAATAAGCATTTTATGAAAGTACATGGGGGTAAAGAGAAAAAAAACCAAAATTTAGAGAATATTACCCAAGAATATGTGAAATTTAACATAGTTTCATGCCAAGAATATTCCATTTTTTATGTAAAAAAACATTGTCGGAGTCAGGTCAACGTAGCCTAAAGCGGAGAACACAAGAAGCTTGTTAGGGTAAAAGTGCAACCAAAAAAAAACCATCAAATCTAATATATTTTAAATTTTCACATTTTTTTAGCATTAAAATCTAAACGTAGGTTTTATACCTCCATTCCATTTTGACCTGCTTTATTTATCTACAAGTTTAAGTTTTAGCTTCAATATACTCTCTAATTAAATATGATTAAAAAAAACCATACACATACAAAGTGGCGGATCCAATATAGAAAAATGGAGTGCATGCTCCCATTTAGCATGGATCTTTACCGAAAATTATGAAAACCGGACCGGTTCAAAACCATTTTGTATACGTAATTGAAATTTTAAAAGAAAAAGATTAATCATGTTAACCTTATTTTCTAAAATTTAAGCAAAAATTAGAGATTTTATCAAAATAGTCACCAATTACACATATGTTATTTGCAAAATTGGCTGAGAACCTTTAAAGTCAATTTTCATAACAAAAGAAAGTTTGATATTGAACTTTTTAACTTGTGAAAATGAAGAAAAGAACCCATTATTTTTCAAGTATTTTCTAAAATGAGCTCAATTTGAAAACCTTTTCGTTTTTACCACCTTAAATAATTAAGTTAGACTTTTTCGCAGATGATTAGACTTTTGTATATATTACGTCAATATCGTAGATGATATCTGCCAAATTAAAAACTATTAGCGTATTGTGCAACAAAGACAGAATAGACGATGAAATCCATCCATCGCTAATATAGACAAGGAACGATAGAATTTAGAGACGAAATTTAGGAAATGCATATAGTGACGGATCACCGATGGTCTCTGTCAACTGTGACCATATTTCTACTATAAAAGTACTTATTAGTATCAAGTTGTTGCTTTAGAAAAATAAGGAGGAACAATAAACTGTAATTTCCAACACAACATGTCATGGTATAAATTATAAATATTACTAAAATTTAACTTTCCTTATGTGAGAAAAAGTTTCCATAGCTAAACGCCCCTTTTGTCATACAAAACCTACAACTCACAAATCAGGATTTTATAAATTGCATGTGACCCCCCTCAGCTGTATCTCTTAACTTTACATGCCAACCAATAGCCTTTGCAATCACTTGAAGGTCATCCATCACCAAAATTGAATCAATAATGTGCACGTGTCCCCTAGGTCTCAATATTCTATTCATCTCAATCATAATGCTAGACATATTGCATTGATTTTTTTTAATTAAAAAACACAATTAAATCATGCTGTAAAAACAAAACAGAAATCATTTTTGACAAAATATTATACCTTTTTTGCTCAACTGAAAAATAAAACTCACAACATGCAGGAGATCAATGTCCTAGGTACGTATCAAATGCTTCATATATATATATATATATATATATATATATATATATATAAAGAGAGAGAGAGAGAGAGAGTAGAGAGAGAGTCAGGTTCTTTTGAGAACTAAAAGATTTGTCAGAACTTGCGAACTCATAATCAACTCATCATTTTTCAACATCATAAAACACAAATTTTCTCCAAATTGTGCGTCTAAGCATATATAGGTTAAAAAAAAAGATTTGACGATTTTTTTATATGACTGCTGATGAACACAATCAACAGTTGTACGGACTGTTGATCAGTCATATGGAGTGCTGATTGTGCTCATCAGCAGTCCGTACAACTGCTGATTGTGCATACATGTAAATTTCGAAGAAAAAAAATTTGTCAGATTATTTTTTCAAGCCTAGATATGGCTTAGACGCACAATTTGAAGAAGATTAATGTTTTTGGTGTTGAAAAATGATGAGTGATTAATAACTATCAATCAAGTAGATTTCTTATTCATCAAAACTGTGTTGTTAAACAAACTATTTCAAAAACCTTTTATAAACTGACATTAAGTCATCTATAACCATTCAAATGGTTAAAACTCTTTTATATTCTAAATTCTTTATTAAACTCTTTTAAACTTATATATTGTCAAAATCATGTCTATATAGATATAGTTATATAAATAGGATTGAAAGGGCTTAGGACTGATAACTCACTTTATTTCATGTTCCTTGTTTGGTTGTGGACTTAGGGTATCGGTTGTTTGTCCGAGTGTCGTTTGAATCTTAGTTATATATTATGTATATGTATATAGATATAAAATTTCTTCATTCCGTTCAATACCTTTGGGTAGCAAAGGTGTTACAAACATGATTAGTCATTCAAACAACATTACTAGTAAACTATAATAGGTATAGTTTAGGAAGTTACTACTCACTATTTCTAGAACAATGAAACATACAAGAGTCAGTTCATACATGAGTCGGTTCAAACATACTATGATGAGAAACAGAGAGAAGATACTATACACTAGAACAGAGAGAACATACTACACTAATACAATAACAAAGATAACATTATTACATTAATGTGAGCCACTACTTCATGGCACGACAATATACTGTTGTGTCACGTTTTGTAACCAGAGTCTCCTGGATGGATAACGTGAGTTTGTGTATAGATCTATACGGGATTGACCATCCTACATTTTGTTGCTATATATATATATATATATATATATATATATATATATATATGCGTTATCAAAATTATAAATTATAAATATAAATAAAATATACCTCATTATTTGTGTGTAAAGAACTGCAGGTAAAAGTGAAAGCATATTTCATATTATATTATGGCAATATTATATTATAGCATATTCAATTTTTTAATAATTTGTCACTTTTAAAATATCATTTTTACTCATTTATTTTCTAAATTTTTTGTAAAACACATTTTCCACCCCTCAATTTTTTAAAATATTATTTTGACCCCCTCAATTTTGAACTTTATAAAATGTCACTCTTACCACCTTCATTTTCTAAACTTTTGTTTTATCCCCTGTTGTAGATATATAATCTGATTTTCTTTAATAACTTCCGTTCATTAAGTGTATTTTTTTATGGATGTAGGAGTGGTTCTTATTGGTGCCCCACAGTGGCATCGGAAACGTCTGACTTCCGTATATACACTACAATGAATTTTGAATTTTTTTTTCTACTATTGTGCCATTACTTAAAAAATACATATGCAACTACGTAAAAGAAAATGTGCCACTACAAGCGATTTTTTTTTTCGTGCCACACCTAGTAGGAAATCTTGCATCCGCCCCTGTATGTACGTGTCGGTATAAATTCGAGTTTATTTACGTTTTACTATAAATTTTATGTATGTCTGCATGTTTTTTTTGTCTAAGTTGAAGTGGCGACACACTTCTTTTTGTCGAATTTTAGTCCTTACACTTTGGTTGTTCTCATTTTTAGTATTTGTTTTTATAGCATTGTATTTTGGTCTATGTAATGATTATGGATTATTCAAAAACCATCCAACTTACACAAATAGTCTCTAAACTCTTCTCAACTTTTGATAAATCACCCAATGTTTATTTATTTTAAAATTTTAGTATTTTGAAAGTTGTGATATGTTATACCGGTTTAATAAATTCTCATGCCTAATACGCATGAAAAACATGTAACAACACGCGTCAAAGCACATACTCAAATACTAGTTATTATTATCAAGTAAGAACATAACATACTTCCATAAAATAATCTGAAATAATTGTTAAGGGACAACTAGCCAAAAAGTACATCAAAGTTATATAATATGCATGAAGCAACAAGCACAAACAAAAAAAGGAAGGTACAAAAGTACCAAACACACAAAAATGGTATACCTCTTGGCTTCTTTGTTTTATTAACCCTATATGTACTTTTTGGTTTCTTTGTAGGGGAAATGACTTATTAGGGTAATTAATTGTTACCCTTGTATTCAATTGGTCACTTTTTTTTTTTTGTATCTTATTTACCATTGAACTTGTTGTAGGTGTTCACAGAAACCACTGAAACCGGCTATTGAAAGTTTCCCTCCGGCAAAAATGAGATTTTCGACGGATCATTGGGTCTCGGCTTCATGACTTATAACAGCAGCAAGCAGCAGGAGGTGGTAATGGTGGTTAACTGGCGGCAAAAGGGAGGTGGCAGGTGGGTTCCGGTGATGGCAGGAGGAGGTGGCAGGTGACTTGCTGCCTGCGTCCCTTTTTCCTTTTTCTGGCAGCAAATCGACAGGAGGAAGAGAGGGGAGGGTGGAGAAAGCTAAGCAGCAACACCGACGGTGGATGCCGCTTGGATGGCAGTCGAGAAAAGTCCGCCGGAAAAACTCATTTTTGCCGGAGGCTCGCCGGAGAAGACGACCGGAGAGTCGCCGAAGATAAGAAATTACCGGAAACCTTCAATAGCCGGTTTCAATGGTTTCTGTGAACACCTACAACAAGTTCAATGGTAAATGAGATACAAAAAAAAAAAAAAAAAGTGACCAATTGAGTACAAAGGCAATAGTTAATTAGCCTAATAAGTCATTTCCCCTTCGTATCACCTTTGGTTAACTTCTTCCGCTGAAATAGTTTCTTGCGATTTTTAAGAAAATCATGAACCATATAGGAGAGTTCTTTGGGTATCATGTGTATTTTCCATCATTGTAGTCTACATAAAATAGACCAAATATATCCACTCAAATTATCCATTAGTGACCATGTAAAGTACCACGCTACTCTAACGTCATCCCTACATTAACATGGTAACATTATTTGATTAGAAAAAAAGAAATAAGACACATAATACATTGATTATATATATTATTTTCATAACAGACAAGCAAAAATACATCATATATGGTATAAATTTACCTAATTGCATCTTAGAGGTATTGAAGATGTGCATGGTGATAATCAATATGTTCGGTATCAACAAAAACTATTACAATTTCAATATTGTTGCGATTTTCGTCTGGCCACCCTACATAAATAGTCGACTTGATCATCACAACATAATATATATTTTCAATAAATTAAACAAACAATTATAAGAATAAAAGTTGACTACCATTTTCGGTTATGATAATCAACATATCTCATTTGATTAAGAGCACACAAAGGGTAAGAATGACTACATCACCTTGTATTTGAAACAAGACTCTGTACCATTGTTTCTGTTATCACCATTAACAATGGCATATGTATGCATTACAATTCAAAACAAATTTTTTATTAACTTAAATTAATAAAAGGTAGGTGTATTTAGTATTTACTAAGAATGAAAATCAAATAGACCAGGGTAGTTCTTACAGAAGGTATCCTAGATACTTGGACCTCTGCCACCTTCGGATGCAACACCTTCAATCTCTCTCTCTCTCTCTCTCTCTCTCTCTCTCTCTCTCTCTCTCTATATATATATATATATATATATATATATATATATATATATATATATATATATATATATATATAGTTACAAAAACATAAAAACGATAAAATTATTATATCTTAGTGATTTTAGTGTTATCAAAATATTTTAATGTAGTTATTATTAATATTAAGATAGACTGAGTTCTATTTATTCACCGAGAGTGGAAGTATATGGTACACATTCAGGGGGATAAATATGAACTCACGAATACGGCGGTCCGGAGGCAGCGCTTCTGGGTGCAGGTTCCAAGGGGCAGCGCCCATTACGAGATCCAAGGAGTAGAGCCCCAGGCGGTGGTGGTAGGGATGGGTTTGCTCGATCTCAACATAATTTAGCCGAGAATTTGATAAAGGGGTTAGCTAGAGGCTTGGGTAAGGAAGTCGGTTATATAAGGATGAGTTTAAGGCCCACTTGATATCTCTATGGGTGAGATGCCCAATTCCCTTCTAATATAATGTTAGAAGTTAAATTCAATGTGGAAAGCTTTCTTATGGAGACTGAAATACATTTATGTTATTACATCTCAATGTATGTGCTTATAACCTGGTTATTTAAAGTAGGTTAATTAAGTTCTTAATAGTTTTTTGAAAAAGTACATTAACAGGTGAACGATATAGAAGAATTACATATGTCAGTGTAAAGCGTTTCCGCTTCAAAAAGCTTGTCCTAGGCTTTTATGCACTCATGAATGGATAGGACACATGGTTGTAATAGTGTCAGGTATGAAACATTAGATTTTGTGTAAGACTTATGTGTATAATATATTCAGTTACTCAAATGAGTTAAAGGGTTTAATCCTTAGGACACCCTGATTCTTGAATATTTGAATTGTGTATTATAGTAATGTGAAAATTCAATCTAAGACATTTTCATTTATGCATGAGTTTGGTTTTGTGTTTGTTTTAGTCTTGATATTAATGTTATCTTGATTGTTTTTACAAGTGATGACGTTTTATGTTTCTGGTCTAGCTATGATGCCTTTTTCGTACTGTTGTTCTATGTCTTTATATCCAATGATCCTGCTAGTGTCTTTCTAGCAATTTTTGTTTTTAATAAAGTATATGTCATTCAAAAACAAATCATACATTGAAATGATATTTATAAAAAGAATATCATTCTAACAATATATGCTTTTTGATAAAATCTTTAAACTGATTTTTTTTAAACTACTATTAAAAATGTTCTTATAAAAAGCATTGATAAAATCTTCAATTAAAATATTTTAAAAAACTAGATGTCCTTATAATCTACTTGGAATCTATATTCACCTTGTAATCATTCAGCCACTCTATATTGTTTTTTGTATGCGTATGGTGGTTTAACTTATAAACTTTGTACATATTACACCATGGTTGACCTGCTATAGCAAATTTCAAGGTTATAGGTGCATATGTGGCATAATTTGTCCACATGGACATGTAGGTACTTATGTGGCATGAGTTGTCATTTTTTAGATTTTTTAAAACCTTATTTATTATTTATTAGTGTCTATATAATTAATTTCTTCGTAATTACTGTTTTAGCTTCCATATTGGCACAACATCATCTTATTAGGAAGAAGGGAGGATATTTAATCAAATGTGGTAGTTAAAATGACTTCTTAATTAATTGAAGTGGTGAAAGCAACTATTGGGTGATGATATATAGAATGCTTTCAAGTGAGATTATCAAGCAAGGCTTCGTATTGGTTGATGGTGGAAAGTGGTGTTGGGCGGTGGTGAAAGGTGGTGTTGGACGGTGGTGGTAGATGTCGAGATTCCAAATATTATGTTTTGTTTTTCTTATCATAATGTGATGCCATCATGTGACTCATTATAAATTAAAGATTCATAAATTTAAGCCCTTTTTTAGAAAATTGAAATAGTAGGATGCCAAAACATACCTAATAAGCAAAAGTGGCAGCACCCAAGCAAAATCGAATTTGAAATCAAAACTGTCTACAACATTAGGGAAAGAGGAAATTATGTATCCCTTGTTTGTTGGAATTCCTTCCATGTCTTTGGATGTGGATTTGGATTTGGATCAAAAGATATTTAATTTTTGAGTTGTCAAGAGAAAAACTCAAAAACTATGGGTCTGAGTTGTCATCCAATATATAGACAAGATAAGGTATCTTCCCAAGATAAGGTATCTTCTCAACATTTGAATAAATAATTTTACAAAAGTATATTATTATTACTAGTTTATAACATTGGGAACCACTGTTACAAAATTAATTAAGCTTTTATACTAAAAATTCAATATTATTAATCAATTATTTTAAATAAATTATTAATTAAGATATATTTTTTTAGTTATATAAAATTATAATCATTAATTTTGATTCTAATGTTATCTCTCTATTCTAATAAAAGAATGAGTTTTTTTTTTTTTTCATGTGTCACCCTATTAGACATCCTAATCAATGTCATGTCACTTGTTAACCTATTGATTCTCCATTTTAAATTTTAAATTTTAAATTTCTCATTATAATTACATTAAAATAATATTATTAGAATAAGAATTAAAATAAAATTAATATAGATTATAATGTGATATAATTTCACTTATTTATTTAAATCAACGATTATAATTTTATATAACTAAAAAAATATCTTTTAATTAATAATTTATTTAAAATAATTGATTAATAATTCTGATTTTTTACCATTAAAGCTTAATTAACTTTGTAACTGTGGTTCCTATGAGTTATATAAACTAGTTAATTTAATATAATTAGGCTGGGAAATTTGAAATTTGAAATTTGAAATGGAAAATCAATAGGTTAACAAGTGGCATGACATTAATTAGGAGGTCTAATTTGTTGACACATGGCAAAAGAAGAATAAACCTATTCTTTTATTTTAATAGGAAGATTTGTTGTATGATTTTTGTTAAAAATGTAAGCAATTCTCTGAATAATGAAAAAATGAATTGCCAAACATGCTATAAATAAACTATAATCCTGAACGGGATTTAATTGTATCTCAATTTTTGTGTTATGTATCTAACTATTTTATAACCCGTGGAAACCATGGTTACAAAATTAATTAAACTTTCATAGTAAAAATTCAAAATTAGTAATCAATTATTTTAAATAAATTATTAATTAAGAGATATTTTTTAGTTATAAAAAATTATAATAGTTGATTTAAATAAATACGTGAAATTATATCACCTTATAACCTGTACTAATTTTATTTTAATTTTTATTCTGATGTTATTAATTTAATGTAATTAGAGTGAAAATTTTAAAATTTGAAATTTAAAATGGAAAATCAATACGTCGACAAATGACATGATATTAGTTAGGAGGCCTAATAGGGTTATAAATGGCAAAAGGACAATAAATCTATTTTTTTATTATATAATACGGATTCAGAAAACCTCTTATAACTTTTATTTTTATTTTTTATTAATAATTTTAAGGGTAAATAGCAGGAAACCTTATAACGTTATTATAACAAATTTTCAGCCTAAAAAATAATCTAACTAGTAGTGGTGTTGTTACGGTATATAAGGGTTTAGTTGATTGGATGGAAAATAATAATAAAAAAATCGAACTAATCATCAAATAGAATCGATAATAGAATAGAATAAAACATTTTTTGTTATTATGTTTGATTACTTGTTGGAATGAAATGAATCTTTAATTCATGTTATTTGATAGAGAAAAAAACATTTTTGAAATAAAATCAGTTGATAATGACAAAAATACCCTTATAATACATTACAAATATAGCTTGTAAATTTTTTTAAAATAAATATCCGTTAAGCATTCATATATTTCAAGATCCTTCCAAATCAATTATTCACTCCTTGTCCTAATGTTATTTTCCGAACAATTTCAATTTTCAATAGGGGATGATTCTTCCATGTCAACTTTTTTTTACATCTAGTGAAATTTATATGTTTCGATCCGCTTTCGATTAAAGAAGCCATATATATATATATATATATATATATATATATATATATATATATATATATATATATATATATATATATATATATATTGACTTGAATCGTGTGGTTACAAATTTTATAACTAAACTAATCCCCCAAATATACGTGTACATATCTTTCAGGATGTATATTTTTATTAATATTATAAAACAGCTAACCCCTAAATGGATTACCTACGTATTTGTCCAATGGAAAACGCATATCCCGTACTAGAATAAGAAGGAACAATAGACTTCAATTTCAAACCCAAAACAAACTTTCTTGAAATTATTATCCAATATAAACATGTCATAGTATACAAGTACTTATTATTATTATCAAGTAAGAACATAACATACTCAAAATAATCCAAAATAATAGTTAACTGACATCTAGCCAAAAAGCACATCAAAGTTATATAGGATGCATGAAGTAACAAGCACGGACAAGAAAAAAATGGTATAAAAGTACCAAACATACAATTTTTTTTGCTCATTAACCCTATATGTATTTTTTAGCTTCTTTGTATCACCTTCATGAAGCTTCTTCTTTTCAGATACTTTCTTGTGGTTTTCAAGAAAATTCATGAACCATATTGCAGAGTTCTTTGGGTACCTTGTGTATTTTCCATCATTGTAATCTACATAAAACAAACCAAACCGAACAGAATATCCATCTTTCCACTCAAAATTATCCATTAGTGACCATGCAAAGTACCCCACTACTCTAACGCCATCCCTACATAACATTGTAACATGGTTTTATTAGAAAAAGGGAAACGAGACACAACAATACATTGATTATATACATTATTAATTTTCATAATTACAATAAAGCAATGATACATCATATACAGTATAAATTTACCTAATTGCATCTCGGAGATATTGAAGATGTGAATGGTGATAATCAATACGTTTAATATCAGCACAAGCTACTTCAATTTCAATATCGTTGTGATTTTCTTCAGACCACCCTACAGAAATAGTCCACTTGATTGATCATCACAACATAATATTTCCAATATATTATTAAACATCAAAATTGAGTACCATTTTCTGTTATGAGAATCACTGGATCTCCATAAGTATGTTTTATGTGCATCAGCACTTTGTAAAATCCAGGTGGATAGGAATACAACCAGTCACCGGCTGCCTACAAAATTTGATCAATGAAATAAATTAAGAAATAAATTTAAATATGATAATTACACCTCATCAAATACAAGTATACCTTTGGACCAATAAGTTTCCCATCAAGACCCTCTGAAAAATAAAAAGCAACGCTTAGTTCCAACTTTGAGTAATTCGTGAACATATATAAACTTTTAACACTGTATAACTAAGGATCTCATTTAATATCTTCAAATCGATATACCAATATTGAATGTTGTCGTAATTACATTAAATAGAAATAAATATATATGAATTGTAATCTCTAAAATGCGAAATAAAAGCCTCATCGTTGATTGAACTCTTGATAAAAATTTACCAATGAATTGCTAAATGGTTCATTTTTAATTAAATAAATATCACTTTTTGATGTTATCTATTTCAGGTACTAAACTAAGTTTTTTTGAGTAAACTAGTTAAAAGTTATATACAAATTTAATAATATGTTCTAAATAAATAAGGTTATATGTCAAAATTTTAATACAAATATCATATAAAACTTTAAACAGTACATGATATAATTAATATACGTTATATAAGTTAAGGGCTGATTCTTGAAATTTTAGAGGGGCTTTTATGAAAAATACCTGGCCGCTTATCAACAAGGCTATCTGTCAAGTAGGATGGCTCTTGACTTGGTTTTAAAGTGGTGGCGTAATACGAAGAATAGTAATTGAACCCAATAAAATCGTAAGAACCCTTGAGTAAATTGGCTTGCTCTTGTGTGAATTCAGGCAAACGACCACCTGTAACATTTTTTATCATAATGTCCGGGTATTTGCCACTAAAGCATGGCTCCATGAACCTGAAAATTATTGGTCATATTCATATACTACTACTTGATTCTCATAAAATAATTAAGCAAAAGATTTGTCTGTATAGGTTTCGTCTTATCGAAAGAGGGAAACTCCAACATATATAAAGACATTCCACCGATTTGGGCTACACTAACATGACTCTGGTGAATTAGATTGAATTAATCAATGGTTGATATCAGAAACACAAATATTGTAATATTCTAAAATCTGAAACCTAACTCCTTTAAAAATACGGTTGGCATTAATATATAAATTATATAGACTCACCATCCAAACATAAAGTCTAAGGCTCTGATGGCTGCATCCTTGTCTTCCTGCTTCTCAGAATTAAGTGGCTCGAAAAAAGTATGTATTCAATGTTATCCCAATCTTACCCCCTTGGCTTTCCTAAATGATATATTGAACCCACGTGATTTATTAAGAACATTTAAAAAATGTTATTTGTCCATATATGTGGGTAATTTTATTAGGAATATGTATATAGAAGGTATATATAATGTAAAGATATACGTGGAGTCCAAGATTGTCTCTCCAAAAGAGCTCTTATAGAAAGAGGGGAGACTCCTGTATATATAGACACTTATTGGATAGTGTCGCACTGATGTAGGATCCACTAACATATAGTACCTGAAACCTTTGGCGGTATAGGTCCACGATAGCAGCATGAGAAAGGAGCAGGTTGTGGCCCACAATGTAGGGCTCAGTGCCAGGATTCCCAACACCGTTTTTCTTTCCTCTGCCAGGTGCATAAGTGCCACTAGCATATCCATTCGAAGCATAAGCTTGTGGCTCATTTATTGTGATCCAATTCTTAACCCGATCACCAAACTCCAAGAAGCAAAATCCCGCATAACTCATAAAGTCATATCTAATAATCAAATATACACACAACAATAATCTAATTAGTTTGAGGTTGTGGTTTAGAAAAATCAAAAGTTATAAAAGTTATTCTCTCAACTTGCATTATCTTTTCATTTAAGAAGCCCATGTATTCTTCTTCCAGGGCTTCGGGAGTGTCCCAATGGAAGAGAGTGATATATGGCGTAATTCCATTGCTTATGAGCTCATTGATCAGGTTATTGTAGTAATCAACACCTTCCTTGTTGATGCCCTTGTTTAGTTTTCCACCTAAAAAGTGAACAACAATTTAATTACAGCTTTAAATAAAATGCATATAAGGATTAAGGTTCATTTACTTGTAATTCACCTGGAAGTATTCTGCTCCATGAAATTGAGAATCTATAGGAATTTACACCCATTTTCTTTATCATTTGCACATCCTCCTGTTTGTATATATATTCAAAATAAAAGGGGTTTGGATTAATGAATCTCTCATTTAACTTTAAGAGAATATAAAGGTTAAGCAGGATTATATATTTATATTACCTTGTATTTATAATAAGCCTCAGTACCGTTGTTTCCATTATCACCATTAACGATGGCATCTGCATGCAGTAGAATTCAAAACAAGTTTTTATCAAGTTAAATTAATAAAAGGTCACGTATGTATTTACAAAGAATGAAAATAAGAAAGACCAGGGTGCTTCTGGCAGAAGATATCCCAAATGCATGGACCTCTACCACCTTCAGATGCAGCACCTTCAATCTACATGAAACCAGACTTAATGTTATCTTAACCGGAATCTTGGATTGAAATTCCACATGTTTTTCAGTAAAAATGGAAGATAATTGTTGATTACCAGTTACCACCACATCTAATTTGCTGTTTTTAAGCACACGTATTATTATAAAAAGAAAAGACGATAGAAATTATCATGTTTATTATATAGTTATAAATATATACAAAAAATTTTAATATAATTGTTAAGTTTTTTAGTATTTAATATTAATGTATTTTTTATTCTTTTTACAAATGCTCTCTAATGGTACATTTCTCGATATATAATATTTATTTTTTTATTTGTATACATGACAAAATAGATTAATTAGTAAAAGACAAGAATATTTTTAAATATAAATAGGGGTAAAATGTAATATACTAATATTAAAAGTTTGGACTTTTACTTTCGGATGTACCCAAAAAAAAGGTTGGACTTAGTTGTAAAAGCTAATGTGGAGATTGTAGACAAAAGTGGCATAAAACTATGTCTAAGGCTAAATGTAACCAACTTACTATACATTAGGGACTAAAGATGTAAGTTTGAGTGAAAAAAAAAAGTCAAAAATGGCTTTTGACCATTGTGAGTTTAGACGCAGAAATAAAGGGAATCGGTTTTTCGCCATTCTTTGTCTATTCTTCTTCTTATTAATTGTTTTGGCTTCAGTAGTGTTCATCTTCCCAGATAAAGTGGGATTCATCAAAGGGTTTCTTCCCTAACATAATCCCAACTAAAGATTAATCTGAGCCAATTTTTAATAAATATGTGGAGGTTCCAAAACATAGATCAGTGTTTTCGGTTTTCGTTTTTTAGATCTAGGATCTGGTTTCGAAAACAAGAAAACAACTTCATCTTCCTCCCAATCCCTACCGTTTATCTTCTTTTTCGTTTTGTTTTTTTGGATCTGAGTTTTTGTTCATTGGGTTTACATGATTTTCGATTGGGATAGCAATTTGATTGTATATCTTCAAGATTTAGATTTGCAGGTTTCAATTTGTAAGGCTGCATCACTGGGTTTACATTTAAATGGTTTTATTCTTGGGATAAGAGTGATTCAAGGTCGACCATATGAACAGATCTGGGTTTTGCAATGCTTCCACTTATTGGTTTGTGGAGTGCTTCATGTTGATTAGTGGTGGAAAGTGGTGAAATGTAGAAATCGAAATTCCACATATTATGTTTTCTTTTTCTTATCGTAATGCCATCATGTGACTCATTTATAAATTAAAGATTCATAAATTTAAGCCCTTTTTTAGAAAAATCGAAATAGTAGGATGCCAAAACATACCTGATAAGCAGAAGTGGCAGCACCCCAAGCAAAATCAGATTTGAAATCTGAGCTGTCTACAAGATTGGGGAAAGAGGAAATTATGTATCCCTTGTTTGGTGGAATTGCTTCCATATCTTTGGATTTGGATTGGATATTCACTTTTTAAGTTGTCAAAGAGAAACCATGAGTTTGACATCCAATTTATAGCCAAAATAAGTTATCTTCCCAACGTTTGTATAGATAATTTTATACAAGTACGTTTTTATTTAATGTATGATATTTTTTTTTTAAATTGAAAGACTAATGGGTATGGGCAACTAGTTAATGAGTATTATCACGTCCAAAAGTTATCACCCCACATGTCATGTCAATAAGGTGTTATAATACCAAATGGAAGAAATTGACAACTAGTTATAACACTCTATGTCATCATTTTTTTTTCTTTTTTTTTTTCGATTTAATTTCTAATTTTTAAACAAAATTAATTAAAACATGTTATTTAAATAAAACTTAGGTTTTTTAATTAAACATGACATTTAAAAAACATTACAAAAAACATAACATTTACAAAAATTACATTTTGCCCCTAATTTATTCATTTTTATTTCCATCGTACATAAAATCATCCAAATCTTCTCGAAGTTGCATGTGTTTTCGTGCGTCTTGAATATCTACGATCCTATGTAAATAAATATTTCGTTGTCCCGGGTTGAAATTGCAGGTGTCTGGGCTCCGAAGCCGAATACTCCGCAATGTTCCGTCCTTTATCTTCAACCACCATGTTATGCTTTATGATACATGCATACATAATATCTTGTAGAACGTCTAACTAATATGGTCGGGTCGCATATTCAACTATGTGTCATTTCAACTTCAGATTTCCAAAAGCACGTTCCATATCATTATGTGCTCCTTGTTTTCTCTTGAAAAATTTGTCTCTTGGTGTTACTGGGTGTCGAAACGCCTTCACGAATGTGGAATATGCTGGATATATTTCATCCGTAAGGTAATACCCAAACTTATATTCGTTTTTATTCACTGTGAAAGGAGCATCTAGTGCCTTTCCTGACAAAATATCGTCGAATATTGGTGTTTGATCAAGAACGTTCGCATCGTTGTTCGAACCCGTAACCCCAAAAAAAGCATGTCAAATCCATAAATCTTGGGACGCAACAGCCTCTAATACCAACGAAGGCGTTCCATGATGACCACTTGCGTATTGGCTTTTCCACGCCACAGGACAATTTCTCCAGTTCCAGTATGTGCAATCAATGCTTCCAAGCATACCCGAAAAACCATGTCTTTCTTCATGCGCCACATATAATTGTTGTACATCATTCAAAGAAGGTTTGCGCAAATAAACGTCACCGAAGATTTCGACAACACCCATTGCCAATCTATACAAACTTTTTCTTGCAGTTCTCTCAGACATTCTCATATAATCGTCAATCGAATCAGGCGGCTCTCTCATTACCATAAGCTTAATTGCGGCAACACATTTCTGCAACCCTGTGAATCCTCGCTTACCTCTAGCATCATATCTCATTTGGAAAAATTCATACCTAAACATATATTTAATATGTAATATCTATATTTGAAAGAAACAATGTATTTAAATTATGTAAAAAGCTATATTTTAAAGAAACAATACCTGCTTTCCAATGCGTTGGCTATCCGAACAAAAACATTTTTCTGCAAACAAAACCTTCTTTTGAAATCGCGTGGCTGGTAGACATAATCATCCACAAAATAATCGTGAACTAAACATTTGTACCCTTCTTCACGATCTCTGTTTAACGTCGCACGCCTGGTTAATAGAGGAGCTGGATTTGGTTATAGTAGCATGCTCATGCAATACTCGTACATCATAGAGACAAACATATCATCGTCATCACTATCATCGAACGGATTCATTTTTTTTAAATGTATTGAAAGTATATGAAATAGAGAGAAAATCGGTAATTAAATTTATGAGATAGAGAGAAAAGTGGTGATTTTATAGGTAAAGATTTTTTTTTTAAGAATGTTACAGTTTTTCGATGGTAAAAATGAGAAAATTTAAAAAAATTAAGACGCGTTATCGTTCGTTACAGTGACAACGAATGACCACATAACGGGTAGGGGGCGGTGTTGCGCCCGTGGTAATGTCGTGGAGGCAGTGCCACGTAGGCAATAACGCTCCTCCACGGGCCTGTACCGAGTAGTCTAAGCAACTCTCTAATTAAAAAAAATGGGATATTAACAAAACTAACTTTTATAAAGAGTTAATTAATCATTTTATTTAGGAATTTAAAAAATATTTATTTTCTCTTGAATGCAATATTTTAGATTAGTTATAAATGTTCTAATGATGTCAAAAAGTCTCATGGGATCTCTTGCAGGACGTGGGTGACATGAATAGTTTGTTCGAGTGTACATGGTGGTTGATAAGACGTAACATAAAAGTATTTCGAAATCTGACATTATATATTATAGAGTATAGTCCGGAATTTATGGATATTTCGTAGTGATATTGAAAAGTTATAAATCAGTCATTTTTATAGCCATTCTTGGTCCATTTTGAGAAGATTTTGTAGAAAATGTTAAGTCAATCTTGACATGTATATATTTCAATTATTAATGATATATTAGTTGATAGTACATAAAATATGTCACAGAGAAAGCAAATTCAACGAACTCTAAATGACCTCTTTAGTGTTAATATTTTCTAATGGCAAGCATGGACGAAATTGTATGCTCTAGATTTATTGAGAGGATCCCATTAACAAAGCTTTCCAAGACTCTATATATTGTTATAATTTATAAAAAGAAGAATCCAAATAAAATTACACATATAAAGACGGATGACAACGAGATTTGAATATTTTTTTGTCGCTATCGGTTGTACTCTCGAAGAACACATCCGAATATTCTCGAACGACTAGCACATCCTCAATCTTCCTCTTTATCTCCTCTCTAGTGTCCAATACATAAGCCACAAAACCAAAAACAACCCTGATATAGGTATCTCCTAGCTCTCACAGCTGAAAAAAGAACCGGTCCATTGTGAGGACCCTCGCCATGAATAACTAGTTATCCCCCACTTGGGGTTCGAACCCGAACTAACTGGTGCGCGAAATCTATCATTGCTCCATTAGGGCTCAACCAATTCATCCCCACGATCACCTTGCTCTCGTGTAAAGGAATATGAACCAAATCAATCGGATACCACTCACTAAATAGCTCCAGAACACAACCCCGATGAACCCTTGATACCCATACCGGACGATTATCGGCGATCTCTACCTCTAATGGATAATCAAGCTCCCCTGGAGCGTCACCGAACCTCTTGCTGAGCGCAAGAGATACAAACGATCAGGTGGCGCCCAAATCAAACAAAACTAAAGCTGGAACACCGTTCACTAGGAACGTCCCTAAATAACATCACAAATATAATAAGCATAAGCATCAGAACAATAAATGAAATAGGGAGAAAATTGTAACATCCCAAAAATAAGACCCAAAAATTTCATTTTTTTAAATTTATAAAATGGTAATAAAAAATATTGTCATACAACCAAGATGGATCAAAGTGTATCACTACATCATAAAATATAAGAGTAAATCATAAAATGCGGAATGAGTTGGTGTGTGCTCTGCAATCATCCTGGGCTCTTCCCTTTTGAACCGGAAGTACCTGAAACATAAACTAAAAACTGTAAGCACAAAGCTTAGTGAGTTCCCCAAAATACGACATACCATACATAATAAACACATATTGGGCCCCCGCTCTTCATCGGGCCCCGCCCGGCATCGAGCCTTGCTCGGTTTACAAATCTGTCAATCATCAGGCCTCGCCTAACATCGGGCCTCGCCCGGTACACATATAAACATATAAAAATAAAATCATACTAACACATGCGATAATCACAAAGACAATAGCATACAATACAGTCATCGGGCCTCGCCCGACATCAAGCCTCGCTCGGTATTCATACCAATGCATACACATGCAAGAGTCACACAAACATCTAGCATCCTAACATAATGAACCATGGGTCGGCATTGGTGCCTTCGACCCGCTAAACACGGTGAGGAAACTCACCTCAAACTGCTGAATCTCACAGATAAATCTCTGGCTATTGGTCCGAAAATCCCCGCGCTATCATCATAAAATAACATCCAATTAATAATTGGAACCCGACTCATGCTAAGAGTCTATAATATGGTAAAAGACCATTTTCCCTTTACTTAATTTGGCCCAAGGCCAAAGCCCAAACCAACTACTCAAAAAGGCCCAATTCTAAAAATAGTCACCCAAAGCCCAATTATGGCCCAATCTTCCAAATTGGGCCCAAATCCCCTCGTGGTCCTTCAACCCATAAGAACCCAACATAATGACATTAACCCAAAAATAGAAATCTGATGACCCAACAAGACCCTAACCTCCTAAGGTCCAGCATGGGCCCAAAACCAAGAAGCCCAAAATATGCAACCCATCTGCTGAGTACGAGGGGCGTACTCAGCTTGTACGCTTAGCGTACACCCTCTGGGGCTAGTACGCCCAGCGTACCAGCTTGGTACGCCCAACGTACTCCCCAGTTGACCACCCCACTTGATTAAGAACTTAATCCATTGAGACTTGAAGCCAAACTCTCATTTCTGATTCCTTAGGGTGAATTCTCACATAAAGTTGGAAACTTTACATACATACATGTCTTAATGGGGATCAAGAGCTCAAAAAGGACTTAACCAAGGTCTTAACACATGCATGGTCCAAGATACATCATAAAGCTTGCATTTTTATGAATAAAGGGACCAAAAGAAGCCTAGATCTAACACCATAACTTCTGGAGTGAGTCAAGAAGCTTATCAACCACTTTGAGGACTCAAAAAGCATAAAATGACAACATAACTAGATCTAGCATTATGAATCATCAAGATGCGAGCTTTTTACCTCAAAAAGCTTGCAAATGATGAGCTAACCCCGGATCTTCAAGCTCAAGGCACTTCTCCAAATGGTCCTCTTCTTATTCTCCTTTACAAATCACCAACAAACACTCTTTAAGACTCAAAACTCTCAAACACACATTAGGATTTCGATTTCTTGACAAAGGAGGGTGGATGCTAGCTAAACATGACCAAATGAGGCTTTCATAAGGTTTAAATAGGGTGCAAACCCTAAAAATTAGGGTTTCATTAATTCTCATATACGCCA